CCGCCGCCGCGCCGCCGTCGCCGCCTCGGAGCGGGGTCCAGGCCCATCCGCCGCCACCGCTGCCGCCGTCGAGCTCCGCCGCCGCCGAGCACCATGGGAGACGCCGGGAGCGAGCGCAGCAAAGCGCCCAGCCTGCCGCCTCGCTGTCCCTGCGGCTTCTGGGGGTGAGTGTCCGGCCGAGTGGGGGCGGGGGGCGCGGGCGCCCGGCTGCCCTCCAGGCCTCGGACCCCGGAGGCCAGCCCGGAGGCCGCCACCTGGAGCGGGCCGGGACAGGGCCTGGCGGGAGGGGGCTGGGGCAGGGCTGGGGAGGGCAGCGGGCCGGGGGCCGGTAGTGGGCTGAGAGGGCCCTGCCCGGGGTGCTGCCCCCCTCTGCGACTAGCTGGTTTAGGATTTGGGGCGACGGCCACTGTGGGGGGCAGGGCAACGGGAGGGATGAAGGGGCGGCGTTGGCACCTCCAGGTTGGAGCAGGGCTCCCCCTTTCTTTTGGCCTGTGATACGAGTTGGTGTCCAGGAACCAGGAGGGTATTTCCTCTGACTTTTTCACCTCCCCTCCTCCCTGTTCCCCAGAGACTTGCATCATCACTTCCTAAATTATATCCCAGTGCCCCATTTGCTTTTGGGAAGCTGTTCACACGTCACCCGTTTATAAAAACCCGAGTTCAGAACCTCGGCTATCGTAAAGTTATTTTATTTCGAGGTCTCACCTTTATTTAAAACACATTCTCAGGAGATCTGTTTAATTCCCTTGTCAAAAACAAAAGAAATACAAAACAACCAACCTAGTCTTAAGTCAACTTGACTTGGGGGAGTATGAGAACCAGTTTCCTCAATTGGTTCTCAAATTCCTCTTTCCCCATTTTTTTTTTTTTTTTAAAAAAAAGATGTTCACAGTGAGTAGTGTGTATCATTACTCGGGCTGTTCTATGTTAGAGCCAAAAAATGTGAGGGGAGCCCCCATCCCTTTTAAAATTTAAGCTGTCCTTAGAACACTGTGGATTTGATGAATTGCCACCTAACAGGTGTTTGCATCAGACCTCATGACTGTAGTTTTGTATTGAGAAACTTGATAAAGACTAACTTCTGTGTTTGAGCCCTTTTTTGTTAATTTTTTAAATATAGAGTAAATTCGGAGGTACTAGTGGTAGAAAAGGATTGTTTCTGGTGAGAGAACATTTTGGGGAAAAAGGTATTAGGTATTTTCTCTTTGCCATCTTCCATGCAGGAATTGGTAGGATAGAAATCGTTTTTAGGGCAGAGAAAACAAGGTGATTTAGTGCACATTTCTGTAGAATTTATTAATTCCAAAGGTTATGGTGAAGTGGGTTCTCATTTTCTTTTTCACAAACTTCCCAGTGAAAGAACTTTAGGGAAGTGTAAGTTGTTGTATTCCCAAAAATCCTGAAGATGTAATAATGTTTTATGCCCATAGTCTTCCTTCATTTTGGGAGCTCATTTTTTTTTTTTTTTTTTTTTTTTTTTTTGTGGAACCAGGGATTGAACTCAGGCCCTTGTGTTTGCCAGGGAAGTGCTTATTCCCCTGAGCCATCTCCCCAGCTCCCTCTTCCTTCATTTTGACTTGAAAGTAAATTGGGTTGTCTGTGCTTTTATGAGCAATCTAGTTTCCAGAAAACCTTATGTGGTAGGAACCATTTATTATTATTAGAGGGGAAACTGAGGCTTAAAGAGGGAGGACAGTTTGCCCTTTTACACACACAGTATGGGGGGAGCTGGTGAGTTCTTCAGAGTGCTTCAAACCATCACATTTATGACATTGGTCTGCTGCCTTGAAAATACATGGTGTCACAAGCCTCAGATTGTAAGATATGTGGCCTAAAATGACAGAGGTCTGTTTCCTGGCAACAGGCTTATGTCATTGGGACTATTATGAGTGGAATCCTTATCAGAAGACTTATCAGGGTTTAGAAACTAAGGAAATGAAATAGTCTTTTGCCTTTAGCCGCCGGGTTCTGAGTGAGGCTGAGAGAGTTGGTAGTAGCAAATAGCAGAAGTTCCAGTGATGCTTTACTTGACCTGTAAGCAGCAAAGGCCTCTTTTTAAAACTTTCTGTGAACTTCAACTTGCTTAACAGGAGCAGTGAGTGCAAAGCTAATACTAAACGGTGAAAACTGTTCTTTTTAGTGTGCACATTTTAGCTTTTCTGATGGGCATTCATTAACACCTGTGTAGCTTGTATAACAAAGGACAACAAAATTACCACTTTCATCAGGTCATAACCAGTTTTTGACATTGTCCTATACTGCGTGGGACATATTCATATCATGTTCATTAAGTGAACTTAGATTCTGTTTAACAGATGTTGTGGTGCCTCTGATAAAGTTATGGGTAAGGGGGGGATACAAGTGCTGTGCTCTGGGGCAGGAGGCATAGAGAAGTGAACTGCCAGGTGCAGTCAGTTGTCAGAGGTGCCATGGGAGGGGCCGCCCGCGCTAGCTAGAGTGGGTGGTGGTAGAGGATGGTGGAAGAAGTGGCAGTTTAGTCTAGAACCTAGTCAGCGATGGCAAACCTTTGAGAGCTTCTGATGATACAGACTGCCCCCTGTGACATGCATTTCATCTTTTTGCCACCACTGCCTTAAACCTGTTGGAAGGGTGAAAGAGAATAGAAACATTGTTTCAGGCAGAAGGAATAATGTGTGTGAAAGCTAGAATGTGACAGTGGGTCTGTTGATAGGTTGTCAAGGGAATCCCTTGTAGGTGAGGCTGAGCAGGTGAGTGGAATTGATGATAATAGGCTTCCTGTGGGTAAGACTGAGGACTTTGGCCTTTTATCCAGAGTGCTTTTGGGAGCTAATAATGAACTCTGAGCAGGGACTGACAAGATTGCCTTTGATATGAAAGGTTATTGGATGATCTTGAGAGAGGCTGGGTGTGTATGTGTATGTCTTTATGAAAGCAGTGTATGTGTGTATACAGGGTGTTGCCAGGTGTGTAGATAGAGAACATCTGTAAGGAGTAATCTGAGGTAGCCAGGGTGGTGGCATGAGTGGTATAACAGTGGGGAAGAATATCAACAAATAGAGTGAAAGTCATTCAGGAGGTATCTTTTCCCTTCTTGAAAACAGCGGCCAATATATTCTTTAAAAACTTTGTACAGCTTAGCACTTAGAAGCTGTAGGTATTTTAAGTCAGCTAGCCAGAACCCACACCCAGGCCTTTGTAGAGCAGCCTCTCAGCAGAATATTCTGGCACTAACAGAGTAAAGGCAGTTCCTTTAGGATTACTGGATTCTCTGGTGACTCAGACTGTAGGATTTGCTGCTCGACATTGTCCAGTCAGGACACCAGTCAGTGGAGCTGGGCAAAGAGGAGAGATTTGAGGTCTTTTTTGTGGAAACACAATAGGAAGGAGAATGCCAAGAGGAACATACAATCCAAATGAGTTATTGCTTACAACCCTTTAGTTTCCAGTTTTCTCTGTTTATATTGTGTAATTGCACATGGATAATTATTTGATAGAGAGACCACCTTCCCACTGGGAAAATCTGCTACCTTAGAAATTGCTGAAAATTACCCTGTTTATAAAAGTTGCAAGTTTTTAATATAGTATATATGTCTTTTAGGAGTAAAACATTTTCTTTCATGAAATGTGAATTTAAAAATTTTAGTGAAGCATGAATATTTTCTTGACTCTTTTTTTTTTTTGACTTTTAAAAAGGCATTCAGCAATGCAAAAATTTTGCTTTTTTAAAAATTTTAAAGAACTGCTTATTGTTAATGGTCATGTTTAAGATTAAATAGTACAATGTCTTTTTTTTCCTGGGGATTGAACTGGGGGAAGTCTTCTGGTAGGCTATACCCTCAGAGCCTTTTATATTTTAAGACAGGGTTTCACTAATAAATAGTCCAGACTGGCCTTGAATTTAAGATCGTCTTACCTTAGCCTCCTGATTACAGAGGGTGCACACCACATTTAAGATTGTTTTTTTCAGTTACTATCTATCTACACATACATGAAAACACTTAAAGTATGCAGGTAGAAGTAGTATTAGTTTAATCTTTGTTCAGAATTTTTTAGACTTTTTTTTTTTTAATGCTGGAATGGACATTATACTTTTTAGGCAAGCACTGTGCCCTAGAGCTCTAGCTCCAGCCCTGAAATTGTTTAGGCATTTAAAGTGTATAGAGGCACATAATGTCTTCATTAATAATTCCAAAAGTTATTTGAAGAAGAGACCTGGAATATTACAGAATTAAGAGGATAAGAATATACTATGTGTAGAATAGGCTAATAAGGGCTGGCGAAATAGCTCAGCAGATTAAAGCACCTGCAAGCAGGCACAGGGGCGGGGGGTTCAATCCCTGGGCCTGCTGTGCTGGCCCCACCCCTGGGGCGTGCTGAGATGGTAATTAAGACTGGGCATGGTGGTATGTACCTGTAATCCCAGTTCTTGGGAGGCCGTAAACAGGCAGATCACTACGAGTGGGATCTAGTAGTGAGACCGTGAACACCTCGTAGACCCTTCCCTAAAATACAAAAAAAACAAAAAAGCAAAACAAAACAAAACAAAACAAAAACAACAACAACAACAAAAAAACAAAACCCAAGAAAACCAGGATAATAGAAAGGGTAATAAGTGAGAATGGACATTGGAAGTGTTTTTCCCCTAACTTTATTGATTAGTATAAAAGCCCAATTACTACTATACATATTCTGCCTTTATAATTGGAGATAGTCTCCATTGTGCTGAAATAGTGTGGAACCTTCAAAAGTATTGTTTTGTAAATAAACATATAATAGATGTAATTGTTTAGTTTGGTATTTGGGGAATAGCAATATTTGAATATGAGATTTCCTAGGTAAACTTTTGTTTTGAATAGTTTGTAAAGCTAAAATTTTGTTTGTAAAGCTCTTCTATTTCAGTAAATCAAATTGCAAAGCAATACATGAAAATATTTTCTTTAGCAGAGTAGGTGTTATGGCTGTTGGTGGGTGTTGTGGGGGTGGCTCGATCTAGAATGTGTGATGCTGGGATCAAGGATGTGATGCTGGGATTGTTTCATGAGGTGATGCCAGGATTAACGTTGCCCCACCTGTGTTGAGTGTGTTCCCTGCCTTAAGGTGGGTAGCCTGGGTAGGGTAGAAGGGACTGAAAGAGGGCTGCTGTTGCTTGTTGCTTCCTGCTTCCTTGCTCATTACGGCTTTGCTACCTTCTGTCTGCCATGAACTGTTTCTCTGCTGTGATGCCCTTCTGCCATGACACCCTGTCTTGGCGCCAGCTATGAACTGAAACACCTGAAAATTGTGAGCTCAGTAAACCTTTTCTCCTTTAACTTTTGGTGTTGGGTGTTTTGTCTCAGCAATGAGGAAGAATAAACTTGTGGTGATTCTTCTGCTTCCGCCCCCAAGTGCTGGGATTACAGGTGTGTGCCACCATGTCCAAGTCTTTGTTGAAGCCTTTTGTGTACAAACTAGATCTAGTATATTGAATTTGTATTTTAGCAATACAGTTTAGAAGAATAGGTAGAGATGTTAACCCTACCAAACAATTTTTATTCTTTTTTTTTTTTTTTTTGTATTTTAGAGACGGGTGTGCAGGGTGTTCAGGGTCTCCCTACTAGATCACAGTCATAGTGATCTGCCTCTTTACAGCCTCCCAAGAGCTGGGATTACAGGTGCACGCCACCATGCCCAGTCTCAGTTGCCATCTCAGCGCACTGCAGGGGCAAGGCCAGCATGGCAGGCCCAGGGATTGAACCCCCAATCTGCTGAGCTATTTGGCTGACCCTACAAATTTTATTCTTGAAATGGTTACTAGTAGAAAGTTGATTGAAAACATAATTTGTTTCATTCTTTTATTTTTGGCAGTCACAAGACAGAGTTGTTTAGCTTAAATAGAATCAGTAGAATTAATGAGGAACCCATTTCTCTGTTCTTTTTCACTGTGTGGATCACCTGGGTAGTGTGCTTGCTCCTAGAAGTGTGTGGCCCTCCCATTCCTGCTTTTTCAGTTGGCTTCATCTCCCAAGTGGAACAAGTAGCTACACTTCAACCAGTTTAACCTGGGCTTTCCAGTCCATGTGAATGTGGCGTGAATCACTAGCTAATCAGTATAATACGCTAGTGATGTCACTAATTATCTGTTGATCATAAATCCCTTAAATGTTCCCTTAACAAAACAACTTGTCTGTGCAGTTTTACTTTATCTTTTGGTTGTTATGTGCATCTGAAGATACAGCATGACTTGAAATAAGTAGTCACTGTAGTGCATGTACCTACTTGACTTGTCTTGTTTCTATTTGGTATTTCCAGAAGAATTACCCTTATCAGAAGTTTGAGTACAATGATAACTTTTTTTTTTAAAGAAAACATGGGGGCTGGGGAAATGGCTCAGAAGAATAAGTGCTTGCCAGCAAGCGCAAGGGCCTGAGTTCAGTCCCCAGTTCTGCCAAAAGAAAACATGGTCCCTGGGGGCTGGGGAGATAGCTCAGCAGTCTAAGCACTTGGACCCGGGTACCACATGCTGTGCCAGCCCCAGAGCCCTGGGAGCACTGTGCCAGCCCCGAAACGTGGTTTGGTGGTGCATGTCTGTAACCCCAGCATTGGGGGTGCTGAGACAGAAGGATCACTACAAGTTTGAGCTGCGTAGTGAGACCCTGTACCAAATAAATAAATAGTTAAAAAAAAATACAGGGGCCGAGGAGATGGCTCAGTGGAATAAGCACTTCCCTGGCAAGCGCAAGGGCCTGAGTTCAATCCCCGGTTCCGCAAAAAAAAAAAAAAAAAAAAAAAAACACAAAAAAACAAACCCCCAACCTGGTGTTTTTTTCTAATTAGCTTGAGGAAGTCATTTTAGATAGATCTAGTTAATTTATAGAATGAACGATTCTTTATGATTATCATTTCCCCATTTACTGGTTTCCTTCCCATTCATTCTTCTCATTCACTCTCTCGTATCCCCGCAAGGTAAATTCAGTGTTTAAGTTTTATTTATTTATTTATTTTTAAATGCGTTTGGTACAGGGTCTACAGAGTGTTCAGGGTCTCATTACATAGATTGGACTCATAGTGGTCCTCCATTTTTCAGCCTCCCAAGTGCTGGGATTACAGGCCTGCGCCACCAGGCCCAGTCTCAATTGCTGTCTCAGCATACCCTGCGGTTGGGGCAAGCACGGCGCGCTGGGGATTGAACCCCAGCTGCTGTGCTCTGCCTAAGCAGGGGCTTTAGTGTGCTGAGCTATCTGGCTGGCATACACACACACACACACACACACACACACACATATGATATCAGAGTTAACATTAGTTTTCATGTGCTAACGTTTTTCTGGCTGGAAAAATTAGAAGACTAAAAGTCTTTTGAAATGAGTAATGTTCTTTAAGAGAAATAATAAATAGCATATAAAATATTATTTATATGGAGTACTAAGATGTTAAGAACTAATATAATTAGGATTTTAAAATTAGGTATTAAGTGATGTAAGGTTTTGAAATCCTACAATAATCACAGCTCAAGATTGAGGTTAATTCTCTTCTCTTACCTAGCTTTTGGATTGGCCTGATGTGGCTAAGCTCTCTCTTATCTTCCTTCAAAATTTTCTTTTTTCTCCATATCAGATGGGTAATATGCTGATGTTTTAACAATGTTTGGGGAGGCACATCTCAGGCATAAATCATAAACACCCAGTTACCGTGCTTATGAACCAAAAGATACCTTTTCTTTCTTTGATGAAAAGTTAAAATTGGAATCTCAGGAAAACCACATGAAGGAAGTGACTGATCATAATTATAATATTTGTGTCATTTTAATGAAACATTTAAAAAAATCATCCAGATTCTGGCTTGTTGGATATTGTGACTTTTTAATCAGAGTGGTTTGCAAAGTTTTTTTTTTTTCCCCCAGAGTGGTATGCATTCCAACTGTGAATAATGGTTCTATTAGGGATTTGAAGACTAGTATTCTAGCTCTGGGGTGGGTCCTAATACACACACAGTTTGAGGACATAGCTAGTGCAAAGGCCTTGCATTGAATTCCTAGTATGGGTGCGGGTGGGGATTATATTGCTGAATGAGACACTTTTTTTTTTTTTTTTCTGGTGGAACCAGGGATTGAACTCAGGCCCTTGCGCTTGCCAGGGAAGCACTTATTCTACTGAGCCATCTCCCCGGCCCCTGAATGAGACACTTAAACATAAAAAATTTCATATATATATATATATATATATATATATATATATGCTTATATGAAGAGGAAGGGGTTAAGAAACTTTATTTAAAGTACTTAATAGCTAGCCTTTTAAGACAGTATCTAGAAATGTATTATTCATTATTGTAGCCATTATCTGTAAGCAGTTTCAGTTCAGATTAGATTTAAGTAGAATTAAGTTCCTCGGTCATATTAATTACATTTTTATTACTTATTGAGTTAGTAACTAGTGTGGCTACCATTTTGGTGAATGGAGATACAAAACGTTCTCATCCTCCTGGCATGTTCCAGACAGTGTTGTTCTAGAACGGTCACCTTGCTATGTGGCCAGAGTTCTCAAGCCTATTTTCTTGTGGGCTCTTCAGATACTTTTTTTCTTATATTCTGAAAATGAAGGACTTGTCTAATTCAGCTCTTGAGTTTCTCTCCACCTCCAGCATATTTTATTTCTGTTGGGAGAAGCAGTGCATGTTATTAATACAGATTACTGGGAGCAATCCTTTGATCAGTTACAGAAATTACATTTTCAGTATAATTTTGTCTGTACTTAAATTTTTTTTTTTTCTCTCCGTGTTGACCCTCTGAGTCATCTTAGCTCTTTTTCTCATCAGTGTTAAATTGGCAACCTTAGAGGCCTATACAGAGATGTTGGCCTAATAGAGATTCAGCTGTTTTTCTTTTTATGGGGGAGTTAAGTGACTTTTGTAGAGGAATACTTGTTTTCACAAAAGTAAACCTAAGATGCAGCTTTTTATGAGTAGGGATAAATCCATTTTTTGAGACCTGTATAACAAGAAAGGTAGAGTATATTGGAATGACCAGGAGCAGTGGGCATAACTAGACTGACTTGGGATGTGTTGGGATAAGAGAATGGTAGAAGATCAGAGGTCAGAGTTGCAAACAATAATGGGCACCTTAGGTTGTGGCTGCAGCTGTTAATCAGAGAAAAGATGATGTGCTAGCTGTGCCAGATGTCCTGTATCATAGGCAAGCTTAGTTTGAATTGCTGTGGAAGAATGCCTACTGTCCACCACAGGAGAGATCATTGGTACTGCTTAGAACCTTGGGTGGTATTGGGTGGGGCACACCACAGCTCTGTAATCATATTGATGCCTAAGAAATGAGGGGGCAGGGGCCGGGGAGATGGCTCAGTGGAATAAGCACTTCCCTAGCAAGTGCAAGGGTCTGAGTTCAATCCCTGTTTCTGCCCCCCACCCAAAAAAAAAAAAGAAATGAGAGGACAAAGAACAAGATTATTGATGTATTTTAGCCTTTTGGGGAGTATCATTTCTTTTTTTTTTCTTCTGAGGGGGAGTGGTGTAGAGAAACAGGTTTTTGTTTTTTTTTTTTTTTTTTTGCGGAACCGGGGATTGAACTCAGGCCCTTGAGCTTGTCAGGGAAGCGCTTATTCCACTGAGCCATCTTCCCAGCCCCCCGAGAAACAGTTGTTGATACATATTTCTTGGACTTTTGCACATTGGTGAGTTGAAGTATGTGTGAATGATCACACTCTCAGCTGAATTCTAGGGAGAAGAATTTTTGTGATACATTCAAATGTATCACAAGTACTTTTCATGCAGTCAAGTTCTAGGGCTAAGTATTTATGAGCTATGTTGGTAGCATTTCTGAGCATGGTTCAAGAAGCTCTGTGTTTTTTGAAATCTAACTGGAAGATTAGAGGTAGGAAGCTGGGGAATACAGAGTGAGTGAGTGGTGCTGATGTCATACCTGTGCTTTCAAAACTTTTTATTTTAAATTTCATGCCATCATTAATTATTTTTCTTTTTTGTATTTGTGTGGGGTGTACAGAGCCTTGCCACGTAGATCAGACTTGTAGTGATTCTCTTGTTTTCAGCCTCCCAGGTCCTGGGAATACAGGCATGTGCCACCACACCCAGTCTCTATTACTTTTCTTAATTAAAAAAATTATTTTTTGCAAACTGGGAATAGCATTCAGGACCTCATGCTTGCTAGGCAGGTACAGCACCGCTAAGCTGTATCCCCAGCAGGCCATCCGTTTTTAGTTTCAACCCTTTCTAGGATATCTTGTATGGATAAATGTGCTGGGAAAGTTCAGTTCTGAAAGGATTTCTGAGTGAGACACATAAAGTAGATGAAGTAATGCAGTAATTCTTAACTGTTCAAAAGTATATTGACTAGCAAGAAGTAAAAAGTGAAACTGGAGATAAGAGAATGTGTGGTGTATAATTCAGTTGGAGTTGGTTCTAGATTTCGTAGTTTCTATGCCTGGGGATTCATAGATGGTATTCTTCAGAAAATGGGTTTTGAGCTTTACTTTGCATGTGAAACTTTGCATGTATGTGCAGAATAGAATCATCACAGTGTCTGATTTTATGCAGTTTTATGTAGCTTCCCCACTCCAACCCCCTTTGAGGCAGGGTCTCACTGTGCAGTGCCTCCTGCCTCAGTCTCCTGAGTGCAGGGTTTACTGGTGTGTGCCACCATCCTCTGCTTCCCTTTTTAGTATAACCTGAAGACATGGTACTCACCTTTAAAAGGAATGTACTTCGATGTTGACCTACAAAATATGGGTACTTTATTTTTTTTTTTAATTTTTAAACATTTTGTTATTTATTATTATTCTTATTATTTTTTTTATTTTTATTTTTTTTTTTTTTTGTGTGTGTGGCCAGCTCAGCCCACCTGGGGGCGGCGCTGGCTGGCACGTGGTGCTGGGGGATCGAACCGCAGTCCCTGTGCTTTGCCAAGCTTGTTCCAAGTAGGTGCTTTAGACCACTGAGCCATCTCGCCAGCCCCTGGGTACTTTATTGTTTTATTTTCTTGCACATACTTAGAAAATGGGCAGTAATTTTAATTTATAGCATTTTAATACAGTGATTTCCATGAAATGGTAAAGAGCATATACAGGAACATATTCAGGTAATCTTAAGGTCTGTATTCTCTCTAATATGGATTACTTGTCACAATTAATTAGCTCTTCCTGTCTCTGCCTTCCGTTGAAACACTTCTCAGGTATGTTAAAACCATGTGTTTTATTTGTAAGCCTGATCTTTTTCTTTAGTGAATGTTTGGCAGAATCAAGAAATGGTTGCTGTGACATCATTTTTTCTTTTCTTTTCTTTTTTTTTTTGTTTGTGGAACTGGGGGTTGAATTCAGACCCTTGTGCTTGCCAGGGAAGCGCTTATTCTACTGAGCCATCTCCCCGGCCCCCCAAACATGGTTTCTTTTTCTTTTCTTTTTTGTGACTTCAATGTTAAAGTCTTTGCAAATGAAATAAAATTAAAAATATTTTTCATATATATCCCAATTGGTTTCATTTAGATTGCTAGTTTATCCATGGTTCATTGAAAAGAAAGGTTTATGTTACTATTTGTTGGCTTCTTGTTTAGAAGAATCTTTTGGTGTATATCTTGTCCTCTGAGTAATTGCTATGAAGAAATGAAGCACAGTGTAATAACTATCATATTCTCTTATTGTTTATGGAATTTTGTTTGATTTTTCTCATAAAATAAAAAAATAAAAAATGCTGTATTGGAGCTGCAAACAAGAGAGGAAAAAAAAGAAATTTAATCTGATTATTTTTAAAGAGCTATATTTTTATTGTGGAAAATTTGACAGAAATTATTCTTTAGAATCATTTTGGCAAATTCTAAATAGATTTTTAGATTAGGGGCTTTTTTTGGATTTGTCTTATATCAGTGAGTTAAATTTGGAGGAATTTGCATTTTTCAAATAAAGCTTTGTTTATCCTGAAGCATTAAACAAATAAAATCTTTGCAAATGATAAATAATCTTGAGTGAAAATGTGGAGTATCATTATGTAGACTAGTCTCAGGTGTCTACAGTGTCAATAATATTAGTGAGGATTAATTCAGAAAACAATTGTCACTCTAAATCCTGACCTTTGGGAGTATAGAAAGCATCTTAAATTTGCTGAGATAGTTTTCATTGTAAATAAATTGGGCATTTACATTTTATGTTTTTGGTTGGAGTTAGGGACAGGAAGAATGGACTGTTGATTTTGTGTTTTAAACTTAGGTTGAGATAAGTCACCAAATAGATCCGTATAAGAGATGCCAGACTTGAGAGGTGAGTTGGAGGGTAGGATGGTGGGGGAGAGCCTGGAGTTCAAGGGGGATGAAGACAGTGATGTGAGGAAATTAGGGTGGTGGTAATTAGAAATGAACATGCTTTGTGGCCACTATCTTCTACTTCTACTCAAAATCTGTCTTCTATTATGGTGCAGACATCAGTATGGACAGGTGATGGGCTGGTTAAAGAAACAGTCTCTCTTCTTGAAGTGTGGGGTCTTGAGTCCCTGGGGTCTTACAGAAAAGTGCTAAAGCTCACAAGATGAGAGCTGTGGTATAGATTTCACACTAAAGTTGAGCGGAAATAGCAATTCAGTAAAATTGGTCTTTCATCTCTTAGCTCTGAAACATCTTTTCAGCCGGTTAAAGGACAGTGTTTCGTGGTTGTCCTTGCAGCAGGCAATTGAAACTCAAGCCTACCTTTTCCTTTAT